TATTTTTTACCACCCTAATGTACATACATACTCGTACGCAAGTCGAACTAAACTTTTCTGCATCATTCTGCTTTTTGTTAAGGGCATCTGGAATTGTTTACTCGCACTTGAAATCGAAAGTTCATTATCTCCTCTTGAATAAAGAATAATAAAATAGAAAGCTACGAATATCTATTATCTACATACTTCTTCTGCAAATACTTGCATATGGTGTTATAATTTGGACCCTAGGGATTTGAAATGTTGTTGCAAGAGGTTACTTACCCCAATCATAATAATTACCCGGCAGTGATTCAAATTATTTTAAACAACTAGACTACTTAGTTACGGAGCTAAAACGGATTTTTTTTTAGAGTTGCCAGAGGCCATAACGAGTATGAATTTTTTTATAATAAACATCAAGCCATACCATATTTTCCTTTTAATTTTTGAATACAAAGCTAGCTGGCAATTATTGCCTTTACTAACACGGTTCAATAAAATTTGCTTGTATTTTATCTAAAAAACGGGACCGACCTCATCTTATAGATTTTTTGATGCTGATTTGAAGTGCATTTACAAAATTTTTCCATAAAAAAATCTATAAGATGAGGTTGGCCCCGTTATTGAGATAAAATACGACCAAATTTTGTTAAACGGTATAATTCAGGCAATTATGAAAAGCAAAGGTGAGATTTGAATGTAGTTTTGGAACTTAAAGTTATCGGATGAACTAAAAACACCCCAGAAAATCCCCAGAGTTGTCTCGAAAAACTTAACACAGTCACTGGTTATTGGAATGGTTGCAAAATGTAACGGAACTGGAACCGAGAAGGTTTAAGAGTATAGCCACAAAACAAAAATTTTTGTGAAATAACGGAACTTACGTATACAAGACTTTCCAAAACCCCACGCTTTATTTTTGAAAATGAAAGAGGATGACGCAGACGAAAGTTCTTCAGCTATACCTCTACGCCCACAAATTGAAATTTGAATTTGACCAATAATTGCTCATCCGCCTTAAAATTTTTATATGTAAATACGTGTTTTTTTCTGTTTGCCGATATGGAGTCTTGCTGCCTGAAGATGCTTTAATGTTGGGATTTAGCGCAGCAGGCTTCAGCTCCGGTCCAAGTCAATTAGCCTTAGTGCCACCCAATTCAGGGATAAACGACACTAGTCCCACCACAAATCCAACACCGAATTTGGTAAAGTGATATGCTTGACAAGGGATGACGGAAATTCGTTCCAAAATAAATGATATGCTTTTCCTACCTTGCCACGTCTATCAAATTTCTTTGATGGCGGTGATGTAAGGGCTAGTATTCCCGAGGACAGGTCTGAACATTCCAGGTGCATACTCTCAAATCAAAGTCCTTTAAACGTTGCTGCAATAAAGCTCGCTCCGTGTCTGCCTTTACTGAAGACTCCATATGGGTTTGTTAGTGCATGTTACACTTTTCCAGTTCCACGTTGCGCGAATGCAGACACATTAGTAGGAATTAGGTTTAGAAGATCAACTGCATGCCCGAAATCGCACGCACTATTCGAGGGCTGAATATTGAATGGAATTCCTTATTATTTCAGAAATATGCAAGGACAGTCGAAGACGATGGAGTCAATCTACAACCCCGGCTGGAGAACAGCAAGGCTGCTGCAGCTGAAACCTGAAATATTGAAGGTCGGCGATGAGGAGTTGATAGCATGCATCAACCTCCTGCAGTAACAATTTCATCATAATCGGCATCGATCAAATTACTGGGATAATAAGGGTTCCCGC